GCACCAATAGATCCCTGCTGTATGCATCAGGCTGTCATGTGGGTTCTATCGGTGGTGGTCCACACCGTTGGTTCAGTATAACCAGAAAGAGAGCCAGAAAGCTCAAGATCAGTGACCCAGTAACCTCTGTTCTCCGACTACTAAATAAAAGGTGGCGGTGCACCACTGGTCGAATTTTTTTGTGTCCGTCACAGTTTAACAAAACAGAAATATTTTTACATTTCTCAATGACTGGCGTCCGCCTCTGACTGGGGATTCAACTCAGCGGGTCAGTGACGGACACGGTGTGGGAGAACCACCGAGTGGGCATGTAATGGTACATTTCTACGTAGTATATATTTCTACACAGTATATTGTATTCATGCATAAGTCATTTTGCTCTGAACTTCACCGTGTCTCTGTTGTGCAGAAGAAGAGTTCTCTCTTGCCTGTTCACAAAGATTACAACTAACTGTGTTGTATGAGAATGTTCCAGCGCCAAGGCCGTCCTGCTGCTAGTTTTGGTTGCTGACCGTTTGTTTCTCATTGTTGTTCTTATCAGTCTGAGACTAAATGTCCGTAACATTGGCCATCGGCCCCTACCTTTGCTCACTCTGTATAAAGAAAGCTTGTTTCTTTTTTCTTGGTTCTTCCTCACTGAGACTGAACGCATTCTGTTGTGATGATTGAACCTTCTCTGCACAGAGAATACATATTTAAAAGACAACCTCTGGTTTTCGGTATTCCTTATTTTCAGCATTAAAGACTCACACAAAGCGTTCATTGGGATATTTTCCACTACAGACCTCTCCTTGATGCTGACTGGGCCTCGCCGGCCGCATTCCCCCGTGGCAGTGAGCAGTGAATGGATACCAAACGTGTCTGGTGTGCGCTACTCTCTTGTGTGGTTTTTAGACGCGCATACCAGTTTAAATATTCTAAACCTTTCGGCTCGGCGCCAGACGCGGAGTCGCACCACCAGGCAGCCAATCAAGTAGAGTCATTTTCTCATAGACTTCTATACAACCAGAGGAGTCGCCCCCTGCTGGAACAAAAAAATGCAAATTTGGGAAAAAGCAAAAGGTGTCTCGCTTAAACAGGCTTTTGGTGTAAAGCAGGGAGAAAGTGTGTGTGTGTGTGTGTGTGAGACGTACAGTATCAATCTCTTTAACGAGGGAGGCGAGTGGTTCTGCCATCGTTAGTGATGACATCATAGGCAGAGAAATGACAAAGAGGCTTCTTCCAAGAGAGTGTTGCCTTTAATAACTATAAGTTCTCTTATGATCACAGTGTGCCGGGCAGCACTCCAGACATCCCCTCCACCCCCCAACCGCCACAGACAGACCTTCACACCAGCACACGCTTACGTCCCACATGCTGTTTGTGCAGTTGAACGCTCCATGTCAGACAGACGGGGAGGTCTGTATCACCAAATATGTTGTGAGTGTGCACAGGCATAAATACGGGGAGAGCTCTCTCCACATTCCTCACATTCCTCCTTCCATCGCACCGCTGAACCGATCTTAATCACGCCCGTGTTGACAGCGGTGGAGGTGGCCCTCCTTCAGGAGAGAGAGTTCAGGGAACCGCGTCCATAGAGTCCCCACCACTGAACATCTTAAACGCATCTCTCAGGTGTGTTGCTAGAAGACACACCAGGAGATGCACACACACCTGCTCTTGTTATATCTGTACATGCAGTATTTCATCCTTCTGCAGCCCGTCTATTGATCGCTTTCATCCAAGGACGACTGCTGCTTTATCATTCAAGGAGGCTACTCAAGTACATAAGTGTCTCTGTCTTCCCACTATTTAAGCCTGCGAGCACTCACTGCCTAACTGTTGATCATTTGAAGAAGTGTGTGACCTACAGCTACAGCTACAGCACAGCCCGGATTCTTTAACTCAGTATTAGAGGAAATAGTCCTTTTGAGACCTAGAGACTGAGAGGTCCGATTATTTCAGGGAAACTGTTTCCTGATGATTTCTCAATGCCGTGAGCAACAAGAACAAAATTCATTTTTACATGAATCATATTTGGGTGAAGGCAAAAAGTCTCTGAGGCACATATTTTACAACCTGGACAAATAAAACCACATCTATTTGTGCTGCTGGACTGCAAGTTAAATGTGAAAGGCCTTTTTTAATTATTTAAGTTACTGGACCTTTAAACAGAACAAAATGCTTCAGCATGCATCACATAGCGTTAGATCAATTTAGGACATTAAGACTCAGCATATTCTCTCCTTTTTGCTCTACCTCGGAGACGACGACCTGGCAAAACGATAAATCAAAGCCGTGTTCTCAAAGTTAAATTATGTGACTCACTGGCTTGGAACCCATTATTAGCTGCAGGTGGTTGTTTCTCATTGTTTTTGTTCATTAGGTGTGAAAATATTGTGTCCTTTTTATGTTGCAAAGGCAAAACTGAACAATGTTAGTTTTATATTGCACAATTACATTTGTCATTTTGAGACAACTTGGCGTGGACCATTGATTATGTGCCAGTTTATGGGTTAATGCGCAAATCCCACTTGGGCTCTGATTAAAACAATGTTCAAACTGCTGTCAGAGATGTCAAGTTCTATTTTCTTTACTGTGAGATGAATGAACATCCTGCAGATAAACAACGTTTAGTATTCTCAGAGGCCACAGTACAAAGATTAGAAAGCAGTTTGTTCTAATCTTCAGTAGATTTCATAATCCATGTTGCATCAGTTGTGCTTGGTATTCTGTGCAATTCAGTTGAGCCTGCTTTACATATAGTATATATACACACATATATATAAATATTATATATATATATATTATATTTTATATATTTAGGTCATAGACTTTGGTTTTGACGAGTACAAATTGAAACATATTGGTTGACAACTGTGGCCAGGGAAACTGCTGCTTATGTTGTGTGTGTATATATATATATATATATATATATCTTTTTTTTTTTGGTTTGTACAGTTGAAGTTGGGTTTTAAAGATTATTTAATCAACCAGCCTGAAGTTCTAGACGGTTATATTCAGATTTGTTTTTGAAGGAGTGTAAATTATGTCATACCCACTCATCTCCAGTTGAGGGCAGCATCACCATTGACGGTGAAATAACCTCCTTTAAATAAAGAAGCAGAGAAAGAAGTAGAGGACGGACAATGAAGAAGATTGTTGGAGAAGAAGAAGAATGCTACCTTCAGGTGCACCTTGTAAACTACTGCTTTAGAGATGAGGGTCGTTTTGTGTCAGTGTTGGCTGGTGGAGCATGTTCTCTGTAGGGCTGTGCCACATCCAGTTAATTTCAGCAAACATCCCAGAATGATTTAATGCAAAAAAATTAAGGTATCAAACGCGTATTACTACTGTAACAGACCGGCTCATGTTTGTCGTTCTGGTGTTGAAGATATGTCCCTTGAGAGTTGCCCCGAGGCGGGAGTTGCCCCGAGGCGGGAGTTGCCCCTTCGCTACGGCAACCCTTTGCAGTTAAATATTTAACCTTTATTCCAACATGAAAAAAAGCAGAAAATAACACTTTGATAAACACGTCAGGACATCTTATTTTAGTCTCAGTATAATATATATATATATATCATATAATATGCTGTATAATATAATAATGTATATCATATAATAATATTCACTATAATATAAAACACACACACATATATATTGATGTATTTATAACTATATATCATGTCTCAGCAGGTGCTTCATGTCCCTCACTCCCTAACTGTCCGTGCTGGATCTGTCCCCGTTGTTAAAGGTAAATGAGTCATTAGCATGATGTCATGCAGCTAGCCTAACCTGTCTGGTGTTCAGCTAGTGGAGAAGCTTCATGGACTGCTTCCCTTTCCCGCTAGTCTGCTGTCTGATTGTGAGGTCAGGCTGATCTCATATCAGCTCTTTGGCCTGAAGGTTCTCCTCAAAGTTCTCCTCTCAAACGGGTCTTGGGGGACATCCCGAGTTGCTTATTTGTCTTTTCCAACTTCCGGTTCAAGTGAGGATCGCTACCGGTTCAACCGGAATTGAGGAAATGACAATTAAGAGACTCGGGGGTACTTCTCAAGTCTCTTAATTGCATCCCGTTTCCCTCACTTGGGTCCTTTCCTTGCGTCTTAGTCCCTCCCAGGAATGCATGGAGGAAACCATGCGAGGAGAGAGGAAAAGACAATTAAGAGACTTGATACTACCCCTCAAGTCTCTTAATTGTCATTTCCTCGATCCTCGCTCGAACCGGAAGTTGTTCTGCGCCGCCATATTGACGGCCGTCCCAAAGCTCTTATTTCTGCTTTGAGGAGAGAGGAGCGAGGAGGGATCTCTGAGGAGCCATGAGCGAGGAACCACGAGAACAGACTTCCAGGAAGTGTTTTAACGGCCGACACGCCCCCTCATTGTTCATCTGTCATGTGATTGGACGCTGCAGCCGATCAGACTGATGAGATTGTGTTCAACATGTAAACAGTGAAGACGGATCACAGATTAAACTCAAGCTTTATATTTGATTCGTTTCTGATTCAACATCTGGTTTGAATAAATGTTCATTGTAGACTGAACAACAAAAGGACCACAAACATCTTTCTTCATTTATTAGAAAGATTTGTGTTTTCATGATCTGATGTTTCCCTCAATAACTTTTATTATGGAAACAATTAAAGTCAGAGTGCAGGAGAGACAAAACACTTTATATACATAACTATATATACACACACACATCTCTTCTATCTATATATACTGTATACACACACATCTCTTAAAGTGGGAATGAAGAATGCCCATGTGTTACTGACGGAGTCAATATTCCAAAAATGCTTAAGGGCTCAACAATTTCCACAAAAAAAAAAATCCAACTCCAAACAATTTAATTCTAAATCACTATCACCTAACTTCCCTAGAAATAATTATTTGTTTACCTGTTGATTTGTATCATTTATACGTTTAACAGCCTACAAAAAAACCCAACTATGGCTATCCCACAAACGTGCCTCAAATTGCGGGTTTTCCTGGTGGTCCCTGAAGGCAGCACAGCAAGAGGAAGGAAGGAAGGAACCCTGGCAACGCTGTCACAAAGCTAACGCTGTCGCAAAGCTAGCGTTAACGTTATCCGTGTTACTGCTAAGCCCTCTGAACGCATCAGCTTTGTCAACATGCACTTACATGTTTATCAGGGCTCTCTAACGTTTAATATTTACTTCATAGCTTTCCTCTAAAGCGCGTTAACGAATTTAAAATGGCTATTTTTAACGAGCCAAGCTAGCAGACATTTTTCTTCTTCTTTATTCGTCGTAGCTGCAATCAGTTGAGCTAACTAAACCAAGCTAACAAGTTAGCTTAATAATCTTGGGCTTGTGGTGAATGAATATGGCGATTGTGTCTGGTTCCTGCGCCCGGGTGAACGGGTCTAGAAACGGGCCAGTGTCCGTATCAACCACCGGACAATCTCAGCCCATGATAGCAGTGTGGGAATGGCAGGATGACCTCGGCTACTGGCGGCCTTACAGCGGCCAAGTGAGCGGCCACATCGAGCGGTGTTTGTTGTCACCGCGGAGCCAGAGAGGAGCAGGAGCAGCAGGAGGACCCGGATGTACGAGCATCTGCCTCGGACAATCAGACCCTAGCCTGTCGCCTTATCTCATCGACATACCGAGCTTGAAGCAGTTTCGACAGGACACGGGTGAGCAATAATAATAATAATAATAATAATAATAATAATAATAATAACAACAATAACAACAACAACAACAACTTTATGTATAGCACCTTTAAAAACAGAGTTTACAAAGTGCTTTGCCAGACAAAAGCAGCAGAAGCAAAAGGCAGTAATAACAGAAAGCTCAGTGAGACAGTTGGTACAATAAAAATGAACTTAGAAATATAAATAAATTTATATAAATAAAATATAAACCACACACACAAAACACTAAAATCTGTTATTGTGGATTTTTTACTTTACTTATTTAATATTCTTTGCTGTTTTATTACTTATTTATAATACTTGTTTTTTTTACTATGTCTCTTGTTTGCACTTGCGCGCGCACACACACACACACACACACACACACACAGCTGTAATCCTGTAAATTTCTCCACTGCGGGACTAATAAAGGATTCTTATTTTAACTAATCTATCAGATGACGCTAGTTATGACATTTATACGAATAAATGATATTGTGTTATCCAACGTTAGCAGACTGTTCCACGTAACCTCTCCATAAAGCGTCACATTGCTGACGCTTGTGACATTAATATATTGTTTTGATTTCTTTCAGCTCAGCTGATTCGTGTTTACTAGTTTGACTGAAGCTTGTATTACATACATACTGGGCTCTTTTCTTTGTTTCAGCCTCACTTTGGGATTCAAGCTGAAAATGTGGATTTATTTTTAACACATAAGGCTTTTTATAATGTAGCTTAAATTTGGTGTATTAAGTGAAAAATCCTCTTTATTTCCAGGAAAGACCCGGTCAGTACGTAGGTCCCTGTTTGCCCAGTCCTCCGGCCTCGGCAGCGGCGTTTACTGGGAGTGGCTCAACGATGAAGGAGGATGGACTCCATACGAGACTCGGACCTCCATCCTCCTGGAGCACAGCTACCAGGCCCGCCAAGGCACGGCGGACTTGGGCCCGCACGGATACAATTACATAGTGGACCTGACCTCTCTGGCCCAGGTGAACAAAGCGACGGGCTTCAGGCGGCAGGTCCGACGGCAGTGTAACCTCCCGTACCCACTGGCCTCCTCCGGCCCCCCCGCCATCCCCTCGGCCCCCGCGGCCCCCGCCTGCTCCTGCCAACAGTGCTTGAGCCACAGCAGCACAGGACCCATGCCCAGCCGCTCACGACATTCCTTTTCGTCGGGCAGTCTGAACCGGCCCAGCCTGCAGGCGACGGGAAGGGCCGTTGCGGCTCACCCCACTTCTGTCTACTCTCCGTACCCGAGGAGACCCCTCTCTGTGGGGGGGATGTCCTGGGGCAGCGCCTGGCCTCCACCGGCCTCTGGTAGTCACCTGTCCGCACCGCTCCTGACCGGCTCTACCAGTACCAACGGGCTAAGGTTGGTCCCCGACGTGTGTGCGTGTTGGATTGTGGTTTTGGTTTGCAGTGTAATAAAGTCGGGTTTAAGAGAAACAACAGCAGAAAGTTTATTTATGGCTCAGCTAGGTGACCCGGAAGGGATGCATGTCACAGGCCTCTCACCAGTCTTTCCTGTCGGCCTATCTGTTAAAAACAGGAATGACACAACCCTATCTGTAGCTGCAGCCCTGCTGTGGTATGTTTGTTTTGGCTCAGCGCTCTCCAGCCGTCACCCTGCTCTGTTCCCCCACGACACAGAAACTCCCTTCAAAAGACAACCATGCTGACTGAAGGGCTCTCGTGAATATGCGGTTCACTCGTTTAGTCTCAGCCTCTGGAAATGAACACCAGGCAGGATGTTCTCACTGTGCTTTGTGTCCTCTCTATTTCTGCAGTGATGCTCACACTTCTCAATGATTACGTCGTCTCAGAGTTCTTCCTTTGTTTTCTGCATTTGCATATTTATTTGTTTTGACCCAGTGGGAAGGTCAGAGTAGTATTTATTAATTTGTCATTTTACGGCGTAATGCTACGATATGCTAATATGCTAGTGTGATAGACACTTGAATCAATAGCAAGAATATAAAGCTGTTTCTACTCCTCTTCATCATCCTTACAGGGATTTTATTAGACTGTCAGTGAGCTGAAGTCGTTATCAGAGACACGTTTCCTCCTATTGTGTCACCACACTGAGTGATCGAGGATAAAACATCAGTTACTTTTATGTTATTTGAATGTTTGTTCACGTCTTTTGTGTTCGTGTGTTGGTGAGCGCTTCTAAACGGGATTAGTGGTGAAACACTCGGTCAAAGAGTTGATTAGTCGAATGATAAAAAAGTAATCAATTCTTTTGACAATTGACTAAATAAAAAAAAGTAATTTATTAAGAAACGATTCATTTGTGGACTCTATCTTCTTAATTGTAAGGACTTGTTGCTTTCCACAGATTATTGCAGTTTGTTTACTGTGAACTCGTCAGACGAAAGAAGAATTTAAAGACGTCACTTTGAGCTCTGATAAATTCTGATGACACTTTTTTACATTTTGTGTTTAGTAGAATAAACTGTTTATCAAACAGAAAATGATTCTTAGTTTCAGCCCTAAACTGGATTAAGTTTCACGATCTAAACACTCATAATTTCTCATTTATTTCCCGTGAAGGCTGTTTTGCACAGTCAGCAGAAGTACGAATGCATATTCGTTAAGATATCGGCTGTTGAGGCACGCTCCCATGTTGCATCACGACACTGCAGTCGATGTTAAGTTGTTGATGATCAGTCTCAGAACCTCCATGTTGAGCTGCAGAGATCAACTGAACCACAAACCGTTTAGATAATCTACTGAACCGGTTTGAGTAGATTCATGTTTGAAGATAAAAAGTAAGAGTTCTGGTATTTTCTGGGTTCTGTACTCATTGACGGTAAACTAAACATCTTTGAGTTATGGACAAATCAAGACATTTAAAGTCGTCATCTTGGATTTTGAGAAACACTTTTCTGACATTTTATAGACAAAGAACCAAAAGAGAAAATAATCAACAGTAAACCTTATTGTTCGTTGCTTTTTTGTCAATAATTTATCAGTTAATTCACAGGCAGGTTTATTTTCTTGCCAAACCTAATGTCCCCGTACTTGTAAACTGAAGCGGTCAGAAGGTTTTGTTCTCCCTGCTCTGTCCACTGACTGAGTGTCTCCTTGTCTCCTGTCCTGCAGTGTCCCCTCCATCTCTGTGCCGCTGAATGGATCCACCAGTGTGAGCTCAGCTCTGGCAGGTAAACGGCTCACTCGGCGTCCGTCCTCCCGACCGTCGCTCTGCACCACACGTTAGAGTCACACGTTTGTCCGTTTATTTGCCTTCTTTCTCTGCTCTGCATTTGTCTCGTGAGTGTCGGTCTATTTAGGAACGGACACAAAAAGCTGGAGGAAGGGAACCAAAGAACAGACCCCATCAGACGAGAGAGGCTTCCATTTAACTAAACTAAAGTCTTCTCTTTGTAAACCTCTCCGTCAGACTCTAGAACACCACAATAGATGATTCTCCTACTACCAACAAATACACGACACCTCCAGAAGCAGCAAACATTCATTCATTTTAAATAACTTGGAACGCCGATGTAACAATAGATCACTGATACTAAATATCCTGCGGTGACACAAATGAAACAGCAGGTTCTTCATCTTGGTTTGCTCTGGTCACATGTTTTGGGGCTTCCTGTGTCTTCTGGGTGAACTCTGCTTGTTTGTACGAAGTCTTCTAGCACTTAAAGAACTTTATATTGAAAGTACTGCATACAGGGCAATTACGATTATCTACTATTCTACATGAATTCATTTTCCATCTTTTAATGACACACGTAATGAGTTCATTTCCTTCCAATTGTATAATTTAGAATGCAGTGTAAAGCTGAGTCAGCAGGCAGGCCAGTTGTAATTGTCATAAAATGGCCAAACTTGACATGCAGAGTGAGCGCTCACTTTGGGTCTCTCTGCTGCACACTTCTCAAATTAGAACTGGGTTCCTTGGGCGCGATAAGCCGCCTGAATCAACACAATGAGCCTGGAGGAGACGAGTGGACCAGGACCTCATTAGTGCACCGCGACTCTGAGTCATTTAGAACACGAGGTCAGCCATGCGTCGTCTCCTCCAAACATACACTTTTAATGAGCAGAGGTCACAAATTAACTGGAGAGCGTCTTAGTGATAGGACCACGTTTTACCACCACGACACACACACACACACACACACACCCCAGCAGCTGTATCAGCTGGTAAATGTAGTGGAAATCAGCTCTATATTTGATACCACTGCTTACTGTTTAGTAGTGTAGTTAAATATCATTTTAAATGACCGTCAAGTTTGGCTTCTCACACTGTAATGAAGATGATGGACTGGGATGATGACGTTTAAAGAAGTCTCTGCTGCGCAAGTCACGCTCGTCCTCAACGAACAGCCGGCCAACAGGGGGCGATCCAGATGTTTTGGGTTCACTTTTGTCCAGAGTTAAGTTCTCTTTATACTCGCGAGCACGCACAGACGTGTTTATGCTCTCTGAGCTGTTCGCTGCATTATTCTCTGAAACACAAGAGGACGAACCAACAAGATGAACCGGCAGAAAGACAAACCAACAACCTCAGTGAAGGCAGTGCTGCTGTTTTCAGAGCTTGTAGTTCTCACTGAGCTCCAGAGATAAACACCGTTACCCATGAATCACAAGAAGAAGAGCCAGAAGAACACGGGGTCAACAGAGAACCCAGTTTGGGTTTTAACTGGTTTGTTTTGTGTGTTGCTGCTACATTTCTCATCCCTTTGATTTGTTCCTTTCTACTCCTGCATATTCTCCACCTGCTCTGAACCCTCACCTGCTCCCAACCCTGCCCCGCCCCCATCCCGCCTCCACCCCACCCCCCCGCTCCAGGCATGGCCTCCATTTTGATGTCAGCGGTGGGACTCGGCGTGCACTTCACCACTGCCCCCCTCCCTCAGCAGCAGCAGCAGCAGCCGCCGCCTCCTTTCTCGCTTCCTCCTCCTCTCCTCCCCTCAGCCAGCAGGCCCAGCAAGCCCCACAGCAGCAGCAGTTCAGTTAGGAGAGCAAAGAGGCAGCACAGGAGAGGTAGCTTCCTCCACCTCTCTCTCCATCCATCATCACCTCCACCAGGCTTGAGGAACACTTCATCACTTTCATTTGTCTTCTCATGTTCATAAAAAGCTCCACTGATCCACTTTTGTGCCGCTGCAACTGCTTTTTCTGCAACTGTCAAACCAGGAGATGCGTCTCACCAATGTGCTCTAAACTGACTTTTTAAATCAAACCTCTGACATGTCTGTCTGCTCAGACCCCCCCCCCCTCCAATATCAACCTCTTCACTGCCATAACATCCTCAAAGAGGTAACGTGCAAGAACCTTCCAGCGTCTGCAGAGTCGCGTCCTTCAGATGTGTAAATGTAGCATTAGAACATTTACCAAAACCTGTGCTGGCCTCCAGATCAGAGACATCCCAGAAGCCACTGCTGCTGCATAGAGCGGTACAGATAAGTCAGTTAATCAATCAACGGCTAAATAGTTCTGATAATCCTTTAAGTCAATTTTCAAGCAAAAGAATACCCCAAACGACGTTGGTGGCTTGCATCTCAAATGGGAGAACGGAAATAATTGTAGCATCACTGCACTAAGCAGGAGGCCGACTTAAATCAACCTTTAGACTGATTGTAGGTTATATTCACTGTAAAACTTTGTATTTATTAAAGGGGAGTTTGCTCATAGATAACTTAATACTGTTGGCCATTAAAAAAAAAAAAAATTTGAAATCTTCAGCTTTGCTTCACTGCTGCTTTTTTCCTCCTCCTCCTCCTCCTCCTATCGTCTCACACTTAAGACTTGAATTGCTGCTCTTGAAATCAACAGACAAAAGGCATAAAAAAGGTGTTTGTCTGGAAACATATCAGTGAATATAGATACATATACATATATATATTATTTATCAGCTGGGAGAAAATAGCCTCATAACCTTTCAAAATCCGGAATTAAATGGAGCCGTCTTGTGTAATAAAACTCAAACTTTTCATTAGCATTCCAACAACTGGTTTCCTAAACAGACGTGACACTCACGTGTGTGTGTGTGAATACGGTAGATACGCCACCATGTGGTTCATTCTGTCTTCATGCATTCAAGTCGTCTCTGTGGACTGATGCGTTTGCATGTTTTGCATCCTGTGCCGTCAGGATGTTTAATTAGCAGCAAACTGGACTCGTTTATTTGCATGTAGCAGAGGTCCGTAAGTGACGAATGTTTGTCTGACAATCATTAAAACAGGAGTTTATTTCATTCTCATTCTCATTCTCATCACATTCTTTGTGTGTCAGTTTGTTGTAAACACCATTTTTAGTGTGTGGCCTGTTTCAGCTCGTTCATCACTTTGTGCTCTCTTCTGTTTTAGCCTCCGCTCAGAGGCCCGAGGACGTGATTCAGCGCTACATGGAGGTAGTTGCCGGAGTACAGGATGAGGCAAGTTGGTTTGTTTTTCCCCTCCCAGATGTCAGAAGAGAAGGTTTAATCACAGTTGTTTCAACAGGCAAACTAGTCTCGGTGTTTAAGAGTCAAATGTTCAACAGAAATAGAGATTTAAGAGCATTTAGACAGATTGTTTGTACGGCTTTAGGCCGTTCCTGGCCTTTTCTATTTCGCGACACTAAACACACATTCCCCGGGTTCCCCCTCAGGACTGCATCATCTGCATGGATCAACTGTCCAATCCGTCCGGCTACGAGACTCAGGCCACAGAGGAGGGGGGGCAGAGCATCCTGCCGGACACCGTGGGGAAATTCATCAAATGTGGACACACCCTGCACATGCTCTGCATGCTGGCCATGTACAACAACGGAACAAAGGTACGGAACCGTCCCCCGGGAAAGGGCCGCATGACATTGAGTGTGATGGAGTCTCCAGGGAATAGTTTGACATTTGGGTGAAATGAGCCGACAGGTATTTTCAGAGAGTCTGTTTGTTACGTTGGGAGCGCTTAGCTTAGCATAAAGACTGGAAGCCTCCAGAGAGTCACAGCAAACACAACTTCTTCTTGTTCTGTTTTTCAAGGATTAAAACAAACAGACAACGCGTTAATTAAAAGGTGCCGTTAGGCTCCCAGTCTTTATGCTAAGCTAATCTCCTCCTGGCTCCAGCTGCATACGTAACAGACACCATGAGAGAGAAGTCAATCGTCTCAGCTTACAGAAAGGAAATAATCATCCTATGACATTCATCTTTAAAGCTCTACTGTTCAAGTTTCCAAACTACCTCTCTGCTCTCATTTACATCTCATAACCACAAACTACTGACAGATATTCCATATGTGCTTGTTTTTCCTAGCAGGACTACTTTCAGGTACAAAGCACATGTATCTCTATATTCCTAAGTCTGATCTCAATCGTTTTCTATCCTGAGTTTGTGACTTAACAGGTGAAAAATGGTAGATGCTAAAATGTACCGATCGAGACGAAACAACGCCTACTTTAGTATGACAAACCCGTCCTTGTGATTGGATGAGCTTCTAGCTGTGACAAGAGTGTGTGGATGACGCATTACGCTGTTAAATTGTACTGGATAGCCAGCTAGCCAGCTTGCTAATCCCACCATGTTTTCATGCCATCGGTTACAAAGGATGAGCCAAACAGCAGGCTGGTGGTGAGCAGCAGCGCTGGGTCTTAATGGTCCCTCCGCCTCACTCCACACTTTTGTTATATGGAAGTAGTGGATTTATCTAAAGTGTACGTTTAGTGGGTGGGTTTAAATCGGTGTCAGGATCATTTTCCAAAGTATTTGTTTTTTAGGCCACGACATGCTAAAGTGCACCACTACTCCATGTTCTAAGGCACATACTGTTGTGTTTTACCAAGTTATGCGACTTAAAAACCTAACCTGGAAGAAAACATGAATGCTTTTAGTCCCATTAAGAACATTGGTGCACTTGAGCCTTGTGTGGCCATAATGAGTATTACAACAACAAACACTTCTGTTGTACAGGATTATTTTCCTGCCTTTTTCACAAAACCTACCTTCAGGGCTTCCATAGACCTTCCCTTTAGACGCCATAAATACAATGGTGTACTTTGAAAATGGTTGATTTAACGCATAAAAAGTATACGTGATTGTCGGTACATGAGCTAAAACATGTTAAACCATTGGTATGGTCCTTCTAAATGTGTGTTATAGGCTCATTCCTGACCACAATACGTGTTCTACCGTTTCTTATTGTTCGGGGAAGCATTGCTTGATGAGAACCGAGCTACTGTGACTTGGTGAGGGAGGAGAACACCAAACGAAGGTCTCATCATTGGATCGATGAGTATTTGATCAGACCTCACCGGGTTTCCATTGATTGGTTGCGTTTGTCCTCAGGACGGCAGTCTGCAGTGTCCCTCGTGCAAGACAATCTACGGAGAGAAGACCGGCACGCAGCCCAAAGGAAAGATGGAAATTTACAGCATCGCCCAGTCGCTACCGGGCCACCCAGACTGTGGCACCATCCAGGTCATCTACAGCATACCACCTGGTCTACAGGTACGGCTGCACACTGCTACCACCCCGCCAACTGCGTACAGTAGAGAACCAGACAGTCCTTCTGGTTTAAACAGGAAGTAAACCAAAGCATATGACCACCAGATGCCACAAGTTCTCCTCCTGAACAAACATGTTAAATAAAGTTAAATATGGTGTAATTACTTCTATTTTCTATATCTGTGAAAATGTTTCCTTTAAAACAAAAACTGGATTTATTCAAGATTACATTTGAAAACATGATCAACTATTTTTTTACTGAATGGAGTTTGAACGCATCTTATTGCTACCTCCGTTAGCCGCTAGTCTGGACTGAAGCTCGTTCAGCGATGAGGTTTCTAACAGATCGTGGAGGCTCAGTGACCTCTCATTCCTCCCCGTGTCCCGCTGTAACCACGCGTTGCTATCTCAGATCTATAGTTACAATAACTTGAATCAGGTTTATATTGAGCCGCTTATCTCCGAAATCTAATTATTGTTCCAACTGGTATTAAACTTAATGCCTCATGTTTGTTCTTCCTCCTCCTCCTCCAGGGCCCCGAGCATCCCAACCCAGGACAGCCGTACAGCTGTAGAGGCTTCCCTCGCTTCTGTTTTCTACCCGACAACGACAAAGGCAGGAAGGTAAAAACACGTCACAGCCGCGACTCAATCTGCACTGAAGACGCTTCTATACACAGATTACTATTTTTTTACATTGTGATGCCTTCTGCCAATACTGATCATCGATGACCGGTATCGGCGGCAAAAAAGCGTGATCAGGGATCTAAGTTATATCTGCTCGTGCGTTTAATGGTCCATTACACCCCTAATTAATTAATTAAATATATTTATTTGATCTAAAACTAGAATTACACTCTTGTGGTTTTATGCCTCCAAAATATCATCACGTCATCATTTTATCCTCTATAGACGTTTTGTGAAATTGTCATAATTAGCATATTCATTCTTGAGCTTTTTTTTGTCAAAAACATGTTTTGTGAGGTCACGGTCAATCAGCTCATCCTTAATTTGAGAGAACGGAGAACAGACGGAGAACAGCATCTCTGTCAGACCACAGGCCCATCAACCAATCAACCATCAGTCACATGATACTGGAGAACCGGACACTCTTAACGCTCCATCGGCATCGTCTCGTCTCTCTGAGGTTAAATTAAGAACATTCTGTTGTTTCCACGGTGGATTAGCAGCTCGCTACGCTGCTATAAATAATCTGATGTGACTCAGTGATAAATGGGATTCAATTATTCCAGTCGTGGTTTATCTGCGCCGCCGTCGTCAGCGGTCTCTGGTGTGATGCTCCCCGTGGAACGCGGATTAGTGATCGGACATGCGGGTCCTCCTGCAGCATATTTAAAGTACAGTCAGTCATGTATTCCAGTCCTGAACCGGTCGGATTCTAAAGACCCCACCCCGCCACCCACACACATGACCAGGTCGTTCTACAACCCGACCCCGTAGATCCTATGATAACCATGCTGTTAGAATATCTTGCTTATGCGGCATGTTTAAAGTGATCATTTTAATACAATTCAAATAACTTTGTTTAGCTTATTCTCATGATGTTTACAGTTAGCGTGCCGTTAGTAACACCTGATAGAAGCTGCTCTCATATTCCAGGTGATGTAAAAGGACACAAGCATTAAAAACAGTCAATTATCATAATTTGAATTTATTTTAGTAGCGTATTTATTATCCAACACCCACGAGCCGACCCGTGTACTTGACCCGATGCAGGACTCCGATTAGTGTATTCGATAGTTTCATCCAAATGAAGCTCAGCTAATAATAATAATAATAATAATAATAATAATAATAATAATAATGATGATATTGTACAACAGGGCAGCCTCTAGCTATTCTTCTCTTGAGAAGTTTCATCATTCTTGTTCTATAAAATGTCAGGAAACAGTGAAACAGTTTCCAACGCTTCCGGTAAAGTAAATAAATACGTAAGCTCTCCCTCTCACGTCCTCCCCGATGTGAAACAGGTGCTGGAGCTGCTGAAGGTGGCGTGGATGCGACGCCTCATCTTCATCGTGGGGACGTCCAGCACCACCGGAGAGCCCGACACGGTGGTGTGGAACGGCATCCACCACAAGACCGAGATGATGTCCAACATGTCGGGACACGGCTACCCGGACCCCAACTACCTGGACAACGTCCTGTCGGAGCTGGCGTCTCAGGGCGTGACGGAGGACTGCTTCAAACCTCCGGGCGGAGGAGGAGGAGGCAGTTAGGTCACAGCTGTGAGCTTCTGATCCACCTCTCTGACCTCCGTCTGTTCCTAAGTTCATTCTGCCCAAACGTCACAAGTGGGCTGAAGGTGTGGCAGCGGTTTAATTCTCCACTACATTCCTGCTCATCACATATTCCTGGAGACTGAGCTTCATCACTCCGAGCCTCTTTTATCTAAAAACCTCCACAAACTGGAGGTTGTGTGTGTTTTGTGTTTCCCCGTGTCCGGCGACCATGAACATGGCCGCTCACAGCGGGGATAGAAATCTGTCATTAAGCACTTTAGTTCTGACGGTGCATTTAGTGGAGATGTGTGATGGTCCCGGTTAACCCTCTGAACCCCAAGCAGTATCGGGGGGGGGGGGGGGGTTGGGTGTCACATTTTTACTTTTTCACTGCAATATATAAAAGTCCTGAACCTCTATGGAGACAGCACAGTGGTGGCTAGACGTAGAGCTAGAACATGACTTTAATGCAGAACAGAAATCATTAAAAACGAAAATTGAATTTCTTTGATAATTTATTTTACAAAAATTGGAAAACACTGGAATCTATATACACAACCTTGTTTCCAAGTTACAAGTGTTACCAATGTTAGAAAGAACAATGGAGGCTTTACGTGCTGTATGTATTAAACTATTCACATGTTTCAGCCTCTCCTCTCTGTGTTCACTTCCTGAAGTTCAGTCAGAGTTTCTCTGATTTGTTGTCACGTGACTGTTGGTCTCAGATGAATCAATCATGACTTCATAGTTTAACTGAGGAGCTCACAATTTAATGTTTTTACTCAATCTGGTTAAAGTGAACGCTTTATTTTAAAAAGATACATGTAGAATAGAAATGTTTTTGGTGAAATATCTCGATTTTAAGCTTCGTTATGGTTTCTTTCTGCGTTGGTAGCGTTCGTCACACATGATGTGTTCAAGAAAGTTGGGAAAGGTAAAATCTGACGATGGTTTTTCTTCTGGCCTTGATAAACTGTCGTTTTCCGAGATTGTTTAAAGAAAACATGGCGGTGTGTTTTGGGGTTCAGAGGGTTAAATGCAGTGAACTTTGGGAGGTTATGCAATGAAAGTGTTTCTGCTGAAACTTCTCGCAGCAAAGTGAGTCGATACATCAGCCTGATGAGAAGAGGCAATACTGAAACTAGAATACAGCTGTGTGTGTTTAACATCTAACACGACTTCTGATCGGACCATCTGTTGTAATATTTGACTCCATAAGCAGATGTTTAATGCTCTCTCCCGGTGATTCGTCATGTTTTTAATCTGCAGTAACGGCTCCCGGAGGCTTTGTTTCCTCAGTTTAAAGAAGGGACGAGGCGACATCGTGCTTCTAGCTCCACGACCTCGATGCTGTCGTCCAGAGAGACGGGAAAAGATATTAAATAAAATAAAATAAAGGCCAAGAACACTCGACAGTGCGACAATCAAGGTCATCAAATTCGTCTTGATTAAACAAGACACATAAAGCCGAGGCGAGCATGTTAACGCCCCCCCCCCCCCCTTGCCGGCTGTGATCTCACTTCCTGTATTCACGTGATGCTGCTCACTGTGCTGCAGTACAGGTGAACATGTATAACAAGCAACGCTGAAGAGAAAAGAAAAACAAAACGTCTGTAATAAAGAAATAAGTCAAATGAATCCCGACTCTTGACTTTATCTACACTTCAGTTCTCTTCATGAAGAAGAGGAACGCTGAGCTACTTCCATCGACTCATGTGGGGCTAATGATCGTTGAATATTGTAGCAGTAAAACCCTCAGGGTGCACCTGGGCCTCTTAAAAGGCCTCATATACTCATTACATGATGTTATACGATGGACCCTTTAACCCTCGACTCTCACAGGAGCTTTATTCTATCAATAAAATGTCATTACTGTCCATCAGTTCCTCGTGACTTCATATTTAAAGTATCACACAGGGATTCAATCCTGTGGTCTGCATAGACTGTATTTGTCGCCATCTTGGTTTCTTTTGCAACCAGAAGTGACACGAGAGGGCGGAGCTTAAAACAACAGAATGCTAAGACACGGAGTGAAAACACACTGAAAGAGATAAAGTTCAAAGACGAAAACACGACTTCCAGACTGGACAATGCCGTGGTAGAGACCTGTCAATCACCGTGTAGCCCCGCCCTAAAGCATCCCCTGCTTTATGGTCTGTTTGACTCTAAATGGACCATAATGTACTAAATGAACATCATGCTGTATTGAAGAAGACTTGAAACTAGAGATTGAGACCATAAACTCATGTTTACAATGTTTACTGAGGTAATAAATCAAGAGAGAAGTAGAGTCATTTTCTCATAGACTTCTATACAACCAGAGGAGTCGCCCCCTGATGGACATTTGAGAGAATGCAGGTTTTAAGACACTTCCTCATTGGCTTCACTTTTCAGAGCCAGAGGTTGCCGCCTCAACAGCAGGAACCTGCTCGGTGTATGAAGAACAAGCTTTCTGTCTGTAGTGTCTTTATTAAGTCTGTAAACAGGATGCAGAACAGAACATCTCTGCAGCACAATATTTTATTCTAACGGTAATTTTACACATTTTGCCTTAAATTTAGATTAATTGTGCAGCTCGACTTTATTCTTTATGTTCAAATAACCTTCTACTTCTCATAGAATCTACAGCAGAATAAAACTCCACAGCGGCTGCAGACAAACACCACAGCTAACAATCAGTGGTCAATAGAGGGCGCTACAGCACCGCCCCACCTTCAGCCACAACAAATAAAATAAATAATAATAAACTATACAAATTACAACAAATTATCTGCGGTAAATATATGCTTTTCCTGCACGTCCTCTCCGCCTTTCTGCACGTCTCAGCTGGCTGGGGCGCTGGAGACACTGCCCAAAAGAGGCGGGTCTATGAAGCAGTTCAGCCAATTGCTGATTAAAGATATAAATGTGTGACATACAATTTAGCCAATCAGCGCCCTCAAATAGATTCAGCTTGGGGCAGAATCGATTCTGGAATAAGAGACCTGGGATGTACCCTTCCCAAGTCTCTTATTTGTCATTTCCTCAACCGGAAGCGATCTTCGCTTTAACCGGAAGTTGAAACCGGAAGCGATCTTCGACCCGTTTGAGAGGAGAACTTTGAGGAGAACCTTCAGGCCAAAGAGCTGATCCCAGATCAGCCTGACCTCACAATCAGACAGCAGACTAGCGGGAAAGGGAAGCAGTCCATGAAGCTTCTCCACTAGCTGAACACCAGACAGGTTAGGCTAGCTGGATGACGTCATGCTAATAACTCATTTACCTTTAACAACGGGGACAGATCCAGCACGGACAGTTAGGGAGTGAGGGACATGAAGTACCTGCTGAGACATGATGTATAGATAGATCTATAGATAGATAGATAGATAGATAGATGTGCGTTTCATACGATATATATATTATTATATTACACTGAGACTAAAATGAGATGTCCTGACGTGTTTATCAAAGTGTTATTTACAGCTTTTTTTCATGTTGGAATAAAGGTTAAATATTTAACTGCAAAGTAGTAATGCGTGTTTGATACCTTAATGTTTTTGGTTTAAATCATTATGGGATGTTTGCTGAAATTGATTGGATGTGGCACAGCCCTACTGAGAACATGCTCCACCAGCCAACACTGCTAAAAATAAAGACACGTGAAGCGCGTGCACGGCGCTGCGTACGTCTCAGTTTTCCTCTGAAGAGTTACGTCATTGTACTCACCGGTCTGCATGATATTCGGTGAGTCTTGTGCACCGCGAAGTCCTCAACAATCTGCTCCAGGTCTCTGCTCCGTTGTCCATGCAGGTAACCGGTCGAACCAGTCCACTCTGCCCTCTGTGCTACTCAAACATTTTGAGCTGACTACCCAGCATGCACCTGTTGAGGCAACCTCGTGGGTGTGTTTGATTTGGGTCACTTAGCTGCTGGCCAGGTGGTGCAAATAAAAAAATAAAAAAGAAGTGATTAATTAAGGTAGCTGCAACTTTTCTTTATTTTAACTATGCGATAGAACAATAATGTTAACCTCACCCCACGTAAAATAATATTTATAATATATTTTCAGGTAACTTCCTGGGAAACTGTTCGGAAATACAAACCCTTGAGTCTTTTGTCACCAAACAAATACCTCAACAGAGTTCAGAAATTAGCATTTTTTCCTTAAAAAAGACGCAAAGATGTAAAACAAGAAAATGCATATTTGTCCAAAACCCACAAAACGTCTTGACTGAACCACTCAGTAAATAAAAGTTGACTTGTGGTTATTTTTGACAGAGCTTCACAAAAGACTCGACTCTTTGATATAAAGACTATTTCCCAGCAAACATTAACGTTTCCCAGTTTATTTCCTTGTTGCAGCGTTTGTGAGCCGGCTGGAAGTTAACATGGACCACTTAGCTGTTGTTGAAAAAAACTCCCAACAAAGTGAAAAGTGCAAGGCAACACATTTTATTTCAAAGGCCTAATTGGCGTTAAGGTACAGCATTATTAAATATGGTCATCGCAGTAATAACATACCATTCTTTCCTTTACATGATACATTCAGGCTGACTTTTAAATGACATATCTTACATGTTAATGTGGCGCTAACGTGAGAAGGCCGTGTACTGAAGCTCTCGCATACTGAACGCGTACTGAACGCGTACTGAAGCTCTCGCATACTGAACGCGTACTGAACGCGTACTGAACGCGTACTGAAGCTCTCTCGTACTGAACGCGTACTGAAGCTCTCTCATACTGAACGCGTACTAAAGCTCTCTCGTACTGAACGCGTACTGAACGCGTACTGAAGCTCTCGCATACTGAACGCGTACTGAAGGCGTACTGAAGCTCTCTCGTACTGAACGCGTACTGAACGCGTACTGAACGCGTACTGAACGCGTACTGAAGCTCTCGTGTACTGAACGCGTACTGAACGCGTACTGAAGCTCTCGTGTACTAAACGCGTACTGAACGCGTACTGAAGCTCTCGTGTACTGAACGCGTACTGAACGCGTACTGAAGCTCTCGTGTACTGAACGCGTACTGAACGCGTACTGAACACGTACTGAAGCTGTCGCGTACTGAATGCGTACTGAACGCGTACGTACTGAAGCTCTCGCATACTGAAGCTCTCGCATACTGAAGCTCTCGTTCACTGAAGCTCTCGCGTACTGAACGCGTACTGAAGCTCTCGCGTACTGAACGCGTACTGAAGCTCTCGCGTACTGAACGCGTACTGAAGCTCTCGTGTTGTGACGTCCGCTTCGTCTCCTTTCATTTCTTTTGATTTCCTTTAGTTAAGACACTTCATGAGCTGCTGTTTAATCTGATTCCAGCAGTTTCCACGAGTAGCGCCCGTGTTAGTGTCGTGAGCTGAAGAACAGAACCATGTATTTTACATCCCTGCACATAATGTTATATTTCAATAAATATAATAAATAAAAAGTACAAATATCTGAATATTATGGAACCAGATTGTTATCAAAGACATTTCATTTTGTGTGTGTGTGTGTGTGTGTGTGTGTGTGTGTGTGTCAGTAATACATTGCAACTAAATGCCGGATACAGCGACGTGACTCAGTGGATGGATAAAAACGTTTGTAACGTTTTCATCTTTGCAGAAAGAAAGAAACAATGTTACCGTCGTGTTCCGCTTCAGAAGGAGAAGCGACGGCTGCGTCCCGCCGACAGAAAACATTTTGATCCACATACATTCTGCTGATCCTCCTCCGACACTCAGCTCTCTGTGCTCCGTTTGTTTAGTCTCTGACAAAGTGTGAGTGAGGAGGAGGCGTGAGGAGTCCGGGTCCGTCCTTCAGTAGTTGACTTTCCCCGGAACCTGCACGTTCACCCCGCTGTAGTCCACCATGTACATGGGCCACTGCTGCAGGCAAAGACAAGGGCGGAGGAAAAGTCAGCCGCAATGGTGGAGCGGGAAAAAAGAAAAAAGGCTTTTCATCAGCGGAAAGAGGTCGTTGACCTTGCCTCAAAACATGCTTTTAATATTCAGCAGTAGAGGAATGAGATCACAGATTATACTACATGAAATGTCCCCGTGTTTATTGTTCATTCGTCTCTGGTTTTATATCATCTGGCCCCGAGACTTTCAGCAGAAATGTTGAATATGAGCAGAGCTAAGGTGACCGTGATTTTGCCATCAGGACCCCTCGGCTCTGGGACGTCCTGCCTGAGGAGATCTCTGTTAAATCACTTCATAGTCATTGTTACAGACGGGCTTTAACTTAATGTCTTCTTTTTACTGCTTTATTTTGTTGTTATACTTATTTATGAAATACATTTTTTTTGTTCTTATCGTATTGATTGTTTTTATTGTATTATGCTTTAGTTGGGCCTCACTCTTGTGATGTCTGTTGTTTCATTGTCCTGCTCTTGCTTTGTGTGTCAAAGCACTTTGTAAACTCTGCTTTTAACAGGTGTTATATATAGATATACATATAGATATATATAAATATATATCTATATATATATATATATATATATATATTAACGTGAAACATCGTGCAGAGCATGCGTGTAAATTTGTTGTTGTTGTAAACAATAAAAATACAGAATATCACCAGACTTTCTTCAGGATTACTGCCTGCTACCTGCAGAACGGATTTACTTCGTTAAACCCCCTGTCACACGTCATCAATCATTGGTTCCTCAAACTCACCATCACTGGAATCTGATTGGTTGACATCAGGTCGGAGGAGGCGGGTCCTCGGCTGCTCTCCTGGACTCTCTTGCGCTTTCGTCGATTGGTGGAGGCGTCTGTTGCTACTGGAGACACAAAAAGGTGTTTTTTACTTCCCCGTGGTTCTAAAGATCGGAGCTCTGCGTCGCCTGACACGAGGAACTCAAACACTTACCTGTGTTACAAGCCTGGCTACAGATCTCTGCAAAGGGTCTGTGAGAGAGAGAAAACAGACAGAGATACTCAACTCAACTCTGCCTCCATTCCTTCACCAGAGCTTAACCGCTTCAACGTCAGAATAGTGTTCGCTATTTCATATTATTTACGTTCGCTGCAGAGGAAGATGTATTCTTTGACATCTGAGAGGCTGGATTTAAATCCAGAGCATAAATAAACCATAATGGGCTTAAGCACCAGAAGCAAAATAAAAGCTAAATTGCCAGTGAAACAGGCGACGTGGTGACAGCACGCTGCTGAATATTCAGGTGTCTCAAACACTCACTGCAGCTGGCTCTTGATGCTGAATGTTACTTTGTCTGCGGCTTGAAGGATTTTCTCCAGGCACACGATGTCGTAGGTGTTGGGGTTTCGGAAGGGGACGTCGTCCGGAAGCCCGTCGACTTCTACAGACTCCGGACTGCCACGGATCAGCTTGTACGGGACCACGACGGAGCGGTCTAAGCCCAGAGCCTCACCTGAACGCACCGCCATCAGAAACCACACAAGAGGGACAGAAATGAAGCCTTTTGATCACCCCGACATAAATATACATGTTCCTCTTAACTTAACGTATTATTCTAATGACGGTATTCTGCTTTGTGTCACATTGGATTACATTAATGTTTATTTCAGTAAATCAGTAGCTTTTAATCTCATGTAAACAAGTACAGAATGACTAAGATCAAAGAAAAGCATAAACTCTAAGTTGACGTGTCACACAGGAAGTCTACTCACCGTATTTCTTGTTGAACAGCTCCCTGACTTGCTCTCGGAGGACGACTTTCTCCCCCATGCGGTTAATGTCGTCATCATCTGTGAGAGGAAGAGGATCCGGTTAATAAACTCTTTCACAAATAAAGTAACAGCGGGAAAAACGTGGCTAAAAGAAAGATGTTCTACTCACCGCTGATTGAGGCGTAGGCCTTCTTTAGTAAAGTGACGCGTCGAGGTGCTGATGAAAAAGCTCTGTGTTAATATTACTCTACATTCATATTAGCTGTCTGTGCTACGTTATGGTTATTTAATGAGGTTTTATGTTGAAATAAATAATTGTGTTCTCACCTGGTTTAGGAATGAGTCCTTGAAAAGGTCTGCAGAGAACCAATAGAAAGGTAAAGGTTTAACAGATGTAACTACAAAGCTGCATCCAGGGGAGGGCTGCAATGTATTATATATATAATATTAATACTATAAGTCTAGGGCTTTTATTGTGAAAAGTAAGAGCAGAAGGAGTCTGGTCTGCGCTGCCTTTGTAAATAAAGTTTGCCGCCTTGGTTCGGTTGTGATGTTGTTTTATAATTCTTTTAAATATAAATACAACTTAAAACCTGACTGGTTGCTGCCTTTATTCGCAGTGTAAATGAAAACATTGTTTCTTCGTCGTGTAATATTTGCGTTGTGCGTGAAAGTATAATTACAAAAACAAAGGTTTTGAAAAAAATACATGAGAATTAATAAAATTGCAGGAAAAAGACCTCCCGTGGTGCGTGGAGGCCTTCAGCATCATCTCAGCCACATCACTGCGGCTTATATTTAGGTTTCAAGTCTATTTTCTGCCGATAAGATAAACGTGAGGTTGATGTCCAATAAAAAGGCCCAGAATAACTGTGTCTCTGGCCGCAGAGCAGAGGCGGCGGCGCAGTCGGCTCTGTTGTCTGATCGGCAAACACACCGTCCAGAACAATGAAGAACTGAGCAGACTGTTACTCATCCACTGAGTCTCACGGGTGGAGTCAGCAGAATTAAACAGGCAATGAAAGCTGTTTTGAGAAAGTGTGAATCTCTGCCACCACGAGGGGTCCTTGAGCATACAGATATAAATGAACATCCAAAATATTACGCAGTTTGTGAGGGCCGCCGTGGACAGACACATAGATGCACACACACTCACGCACAATCGATCTCATCATCTCCTGGCGAAGATAATGATAATTAATAATAATGTTTTTTTAACTATTTAAACATGAAAGCTGCCCTTGAGTTGAAATGTGCTCTTTAATTATCTTTTACTCAATGAATGATCTCCGTATCACAGCGAAGGACGATTATTTGGACCAATGAAACTACGTCACGTGTGTTGGAGTGATCATGTGATGATGTGGGATTCACACCTGGTGATGGTGAAGTTGATTTTGTCGGCGACCGCCAGGATCCTCTCCAGGTTCTGGGAGCCGAAGGTGCAGGGCTTCCTGAAGGGGATGCCGGGTGGGAGGCCCTCGATGATGACCGAGTCCGGGTTGTTCTTGATCCTCTTGTAAGGCACTTGGACGGGGTACTTGATGCCCAATGCCTCCCCATACTTCCTGTTGAACAGATCCTGGACCTGCTCGCGCAGCGTGTTGGCCAGGTCGATCCTGGACAGCTTGGACTCCAGGCACTCTGAGAGAGTGAGAGAGAGAGAGTGAGAGAGAGAGAGAGAGAGAGAGAGAGAGAGAGGGGGGGGGGGGGGAGATTCATGTGTACCTCACTTTTTCAGGGTGCTGCTGTAGTCACACTGTTTAGTGTTGAAAGTGAGAAGTGATGCCCATTTATGTTTCATCAATACATCACATATGAGCTTTAAAGTCCGGCTGAAGGGGAACCTGGACCTACCTGAGAAACCAGGTCTCTTAGATAGAGCTGCAGTGTCCTCTGTTTCTGGACTTGAATCATTGGCGTCCAGCTCTTTAGAAAACAACATTTACAGATAAGATTTACTGGCAGCAACAAACGTTAAGAGCTGCTCCTTGTTCCAGCAGCTGGGCTCTGTCACAGATAAAATAACAAATAATAAAGCAGAGATAGCTGCAGGAAAATCCCTGCAAGGACTTTCTTTTTCCCCTGAGAAGAGTGGTTTTAAAAATAGCACATGAACTGGATTTAACCTCCTCATTTCAAGCGTGCAGAGGACTTAAAGCTGCATTATTAACTTTACAGATGGTGGGATATTGTGCTCACAGCCTCCCTCCTGTCCTCAGAGCTTTTAATACTACGACATCCTTTTTAAAAGGTTTACTGCGGGTTCAGGAGGATGAGAAACGACTTAGGTTAAATGTTACTGACGCAGCATTCAGATACTGTGAGGAGAACTCACAGAGGAGTTCTTCTTTTATTTATTGGTGCAAACAAACCCTAAAGCACCTGCTGGCATTCATCCACTGAGAATCACACCCGTGAACCCAGAGGCATCATGGTACATGTAGTGCTGTCTGCGTATATCTTGCATGCAGAAGACGACTAATGTCTGCAAAATAAAGAATAAACGATGACATATTCATGACCATGACATGCACAAAGTGGTTTCATTCTTCTACCCAGGCTTTTAAGTCAGCTACTCTTGTTATTGCAGAAGGTGGTGTTGTTGTATTCTTCTCTGAAGAACAGAATGAGTGTATCTCGGCCTGAATTTGATGTCATTTCTGTTCAGTTATTTACATTTAAATACATAAAGTAAGGCGAACACATACCTGGATCACAGATGGGCATGGAAGGCATCTCTTGTTTGACTTGCTCTGTTAGCAGCTCCGGCCTGGAGACACACAGAAAGAGTTCTACAATATCAGCAAAGCGGTGAGTGAATCCTTAATTAAAGTGTTCTCGAAGCTTAAAGTCGTGACATTTCATCAAAAACATTTTATTCTACATGTTCTCGTTGAAAATTTCGCCCCAAATGAAGCGTTTACTTTAACCAGATTGTGTAAAAACATTAAGCTGTGAGCTCCTCAGTGAAACTATGAAGTCATGATTGATTCATGAGGAGAGGAGAGGAGAGGAGAGAGGGGAGAGGAGAGGAGAGAGGAGAGAGGAGAGAGCAGAGAGGAGAGAGGAGAGGAGAGAGGAGAGGAGAGGAGAGGAGAGGAAAGGAGAGAGGAGAGGAAAGGAGAGAGGAGAGAGGAGAGGAAAGGAGAGAGGAGAGAGGAGAGGAGAGGCTGGAAGTAGAGGCTGTTAAAATGTAGAAAGTTTCATATTTATAGCACATGGAGCCTCCGTTTCTGTCCCCCAGCATTGGTAACACCTGGAGCAACTTGTGAACAAGCTGTATATATAGACTCCATTGTTGTAAAATGAAGTAATGATATTAAAGGAAGTACTTTGCACCTGAACACTTCCCCTGCAGATCACTGCTCTCACCTCTTGATGACGAACTGGATCTGACCGCTAGCAGCTAGGATCTTGCGCAGCTTGGCCGCTCCGAAGCAGTTGGGCCGTCGGATGGAGATCCCCTCCGGCAGCCCGCTGACGTACAGGTCCTCCGGGTACATCTGGAACTTGGAGTAGGGCACCGTGGCCGGTTCAGGCAGACCCAGAGCGTCGGCTGAGGAAGAGGAGAAAGGCTTCTATCGGTGTTCTGCTGCGTCAGACTGACTCATTTACACATTTCACACTCTCTGCATGCTTTACTTTCTGCTTCTGCTCCAGATGTTTTTCGTGTCTAACAATGCATCATTTTGTCTTTCGTCCATGTTTCCATGAACATAATCATCCCTCAGATTGAAGCTTTGCATGTGTTGTTTGATGAGCCTCTGTGCTGCATGTCTTAGTTGATAAAGTGCGTCCTGAATGATGTTATTATTCTCTCTTCTGTTATGACGGTTTCTTCATGCTTATAAAGTATAAATGATGAATAACTGCTGTTATTTAGGGTGACCTTGTAACATCTGTCCAGGGACTACACTTCTTCTCTCCCACACTAATTCTGACGTATTAAAATATATCTTTTAACTATTTAAATGGACTCTAAAGGCTTAACGGTTGACTTGCTGTGCGCCGGTGGAGGCTGTGAGCTTCCTGCCGTCGTATGAGCGGCTACAGGCAGCTTACCGTACTTAATGCTGAAGAGGCTCTCCACTTGTCTCCGCAGCTGAAGAATCATTTCACCAATGTCCTCCACCAGACTCCCTGCTAAAGGAGTCAAACAACCAGGAGCATTAGGAGAGAGCGATCACTGGGTCGGGGTAAACATTACTGCATCTTTATTTTGATGACTTCCTCCTGCCCTGCACTGGCTGTGTGGCGTATGAACCACCGGAGACCAGAACTAATGGACACAAGGAAGAAGAATGTCGAAAATATGTTTACAGGTGGATGTGAGCACAAATGAGCTGAGCTGCACCTGAAGTAAAGGCAAAATAATATCAGTTCTGTCATCATTAAGTCAAAGAAAGATTGTAGAAATAATAGATTTTCAAGAATATGAAAATAGCATTTCTGTCGAACGTATAAAGGGTGTTTTCCTATAATTCAGGGGTGTCGGTGGAGCCACAAGGCTCTATAGTCTGAGGAGGTTTCATGTTATTCCGCTCTGCCTCTCCAACAAGATCATAGTTATAACAATATAACAGGTGAGAGTGAAACGGTGGACGAGTCGGTACCTTCAGAGGATCTTCTGACGCTCTGAGACGCAGCGCTGGGCGACAGAGCTTCAGCTGCAGGAAGAAAGACAAACACACAGCAGCTTTCAAACTGTTATACAACACAGGATTCAAATACGTGATTTATTATTAAGGAAAACAAACGTCTTGATGGTTTACTGGTAGCTTTTCATTGGCTTTGCAGAGCAGCAGTCAGTGTGAATTAACGGTGTAGTGTAAACTAAATCAGTCCCAGCTGTTTCCCTGCAGTAATTAGCTTGTGACTACGTGTGTGGACAAAATGCCTGGAGCAGGTTACAACTTGGATGAATCAGTTTTCGGTGGACCCTTAAGGACTAAAGGAATATATGTAATCGAGGAATGGAAACACAATCAGTTTTTAAATCCGTATCAAAAGTTGTGAGACACAATATTTAACCTCGTCTCTTTTTTATTGTGCCGGTAAATCTGTTTCTGTTAAATGAACGATTCAACCTGGTATGGACTCACACAGTCTTAATATCATTTAAATAGAAATATTCACTCCTGCCCAGTTGTCATGAACGGGGATTTTATCTATGGAGACCAGGCTGTAAACATGTTTATTCCTGCTATTTTAACATAGAGGTCTATGGACAAAGACTCGCTTCTGGAGCCTCAAGTGGCCACTCTGGCACTTCCACGTTGGTTTCTCATTTCTCAGCACCGAATGCTGGTTGGTCAAAAGGCGTAGCCACACCCAGCGGGTAAGAGGAACTCGGCGTCTAATTGGGGCTCAACTTTTAAGTTCAATGCAAGAAGCAAAACTTGCATTTATTCTGTTATTCGGGAAATGCTGTGTGCTTTAGTGGGAGATCCTCCATCATCTACATCTATAGAGCTGTGAAGCTGTTTGGGCCGTTAACAGCGTCCAACACTGCAGAAGCAGAATGACTTCTTCTGTGTGAAAACTGTAGTACTGTATGCATCGATTTTGACTTTACTACGTATAATTCCAAATAGCAACGAATGAACACGTGAATGAAAGAGCATGTACACAGCACATAATTCTACGTGTGACAGTTGCTGCACTTACCTTCATTTTCTTTCCTTTAGTGGTCATTTGTGAAAGAAAAGAAAACTTAAACAAAGCACAATCAAATCAACAAAATAAAACAAAACGCCTCCTGAAAGCATCGTATGCTGAGCCCAACATCACTTTGAGGAGGCTCCTCCCTCTCTGTAGCCTCGGCCTCATTTACATGTTCATCGGTTTTATTCATAGGAAACAAACATGTCTGACTTTTGACAGTTTCATTGATGATCCAGCTAGAATAATCTGTTTGACAGACGTGCTTCTGAAATGTGGAAACAACCCAATGATTCTTCTTTAACCATCATTGAATGCACAAGTCAGCTTAGAGGGTCAGTCCACAGAGATCTCTGCTGGTGAGTTGAATGTAGATTGTTGTGTTCAGACAAATTAAACCGAAAGGATCTGCTTGGTTAGATACCAGTAGAGATAGGGAGGAACATATGTTTGTAATTTTGGGGGGGTTCGGGGGGACCAACCCTTTAAGGTGAAAAAACGACTAAACAAATAAAATGACCGTAAAAGTGCTGTTTATTACCACTTGTGATAAATGAGGCGGGTGCAGTTTAGAGAGAGAGAGGAGTCTACTCAGAGGTCTTGACTTTAGTTTGAAAGGGGAGCAGGTCCGTGTTAGAGGACGGTAGAGTTTGGGAGCATTGAAAGGATGTTTGAGGAGCAGCGTTGTCTCTCTAAGACATCTCTATTCATTCTGCAGGACTACAGGGCAAGCTGGAAATCTGCACAATGCATCAGTGTGAACCTTTCTGCTGATACATGGTGCCTTTCACAGAGGAGAGCTAGTGATGGTCAGACTGGGGAGAAGAGAAGAGCTACAGTGGGCCGGAGTTTAGGGAGTGAGGGGGGGTTCTTGAGGTTGGGGGGGCTGGGGGCTTGGGGTCTATGAGGTTTTGGTCGTGGGGGAAGTGGGAGAGTGGAAGGACAAACTAAAAGGTATCTGAGAAAAGTGTTTTCATACGTGTGGCAGCCTATTTTAGCTCCCTACAAACACAGCCAGAGAGTGCAGGGGGGCAGTGGGAGGTGCCGGTTGGCACCGCGGTGGCTGTGGGTGGAGCTGGCGTTCCAGGGGGCTGCGGTGAGAAAGGAGGCGGGTGAAACAGAGGCGGGGGGGGGGGGGCTGAGCTCACCTGCGTGGTTCTCCATTTGGTGAATGGGAGCAGAAGGAGCAGAAGGAGCAGAAGGAGCAGCGGGAGCAGCGGGCGAGGCCGTGGGTGGACACGCTGCAGCTGCGACCGGCTCGGCCACCGACTCGCCGGGCTCCTCCCCTCCTGTACCAGCCTCTGATGACACACACAACATTTTGATTTGATTTCCTCTATTTTATTTTCTTAGATGTAAAACCGACATAATCAAAGCTAAAAAACAAGTGTGTGTACCCAACGTACGTTTACCAAACCATTACCATCATCATTAGTCCTCATCCTTGAAATCTTCAAAAAAGCGACACTTATACTTCATCCAAAATCACACACTGTGCATTATATATATATATATATATATTATATGCTCAATATGTGTCCCATTGTTAGTGTGAATAAACAGTGGTACGTTTCAGACGCACTGAGCAGTAATTACCACGTCACGTTCTGACAGCCTCCTTGCAGGTGACAGGTAACAACAGTAACCTCGGCCAACCGTCATGTGACCGAGCGATATTTTGTGAGAACTATAAAGTCTGAAGTGGGGACTGCGCGGTGGTGTGGTGGCTACCCTCACAGCAAGCGGGGCCCGGGTTCAAGTCCCGGGCTAAGCCTCCGTGTGGAGTTTGCAGCTTGGGTTCTCTCCGGGGTCTCCGGCTTCCTCCCACAGTCCAAAGACATGCAAGCTTAGGTTAATTGATGACTCTAAATTGCCAGTAAAGTGAGCTCTATGTTGTCTATATGTTGACTCATTGCTTTGTGGGATATTAATGCCGGCGTAGTGTCCAGTGTTTGCGCTCCAACGACCTGTAACCTGAAGCTTGAACATGGAGGAATGAAGAAGTCCTCTGGATCTGCTTCTGTTTTAGAATATATATTTCCATAGAGAGCAAGACTCCTTATCTTTAAAGTTCTGCAGCCTTACCTGGCACGGTGACTTGAATGATGTCCCCATCCGGAGGCTCCGTTTTAATCCTTTTCAAAGGAATGCAATCTCCCGAAGGACCTGCGGGGATCGAACGCTTCCCATCAGTGTGTGGCCGAGTGTTTCACGGCCGCGTTCAACAGATTTAGAGAGGGTGACAGAGTGTGTTTGAACTGACTGGACTGTAAAACATGACGGGACATTGTCTTCAGAGACTCCCGAGGACCACTGACATTGCTTTAAAAACTTTAACTTGAATCTTTTGTTACATCAAAAAATATGAACAAAAAGTTTTAATAATGCAGAAATGCTTTTATTTGCACATACCTGCTTCACAGTCAGCCAAGGGACTCACGCATGCACTTGCTGATCTGTGAGATTAAATAAAACACACTCAGGTGACTACCAAATTACAAAACGGGTTCATTAAAAATACATAAGCACTTAGGTGGTGGGACACAAGAACTGCTCAACACTGGCTACTAACTGTATGAGGACACTTGGGTTGAGTGAGATTGCAGGTTTGGCTCAAAGGAATACTTCACTCCTAAATTGACCGTTTGTACATCACCCTGTGTTACCTTGAGTTCTTAAAGAAAACCTTTCTCTCGTGCCTCCGCGGTGAAGAAGTCTGCAGACGTCTCTCTACCCAGCAGCGTATCCTAGCTCTTCCTGGTGAACCCGGAGGCGTTCCAAGACCAGAGGAGATTTATAATCCCTGCAGCGTGTTCTGGGTCTACCCCGGAGGCTTCTTACTAGCTGGACAAGCCGGGAAAAACCTCTCCAGGGATCAGATGTACCTCTGTACTCCGATATCCTTCCAGATATCTGAGCTCTACCAAGTAAGGGTGTTGCATTTTGGCCGCTTGTATCCGAGATACGCGGCAACCTCCAGTTCTGCTGAGTGAAGTCAATGCGAATCCAAAGGGTTTTAAATAGTAAAGTTGTAGCATTTAGATGCAGCTGTTTGGGAAGTAAGGAGCATGAATAAAGAGACTTGGATTACACTGCATGAGCTGTTGCTAATCAAGACTCTTCTCTGTGTTGTGATTCTCTGTTCGCTTAGAGTTGAAGGTTTTCTAACTCAGGGAGAGTAGTTGATATATAAACAGTCATTTTGTAGGTGTAGTATTCCCCTCATCTGAAAAATCTGGTAAACTAAGCACGAACAGATTATATGACGGCGCAGTTATTCTGAGATTTGAGGTAACCTGCAATGATTTATTTTTAATGCATCAGCTGATTTATGTATTTAATCATATTTATCAAAATGTGAATTAAGGACTGACGCTAAAACTAAGCACATCACAGCCGGTGTCACCGTAGGACTGTAAAACATAAATACAACATATGTATATATACTGTATGAACAGCTTCATTCAGCGCACAATAAGAGTAACGGCAGCTCTAGATGCGATGGAGTTTGGCCCCGACGCCTCTCATATCTCCGGGTTACAAACTAAATGTGTGTGGGCGTGGCTCTGACCTGCTGCTGTGAGGATTGCTGACCGGCTCGGCTGCGGTGGGCGGGATGCTGAGATTGTCGAGGAAGCCGTCTTCGGGCATGGCGCCCAGGTCGTGCTTGCCGTCCTCCCTCACGATCTTGCCAGCGGCTTCGTCAAAAAACAAGACAACAGGAGATAAACAAACATCCCATCAGCGAGGAACATCTGTGGGCTGCACACATATAAACAAACACTCTCTCTGGTAGCCAGTTACAGTAATTAATTGTCAAGATTCTCAAATATTGTGAGGCCGAATGCTGAGCTCACAAAGCAAACATGAAATAATGACATTTTACCCACAGTTCCCTTTGACAGGAGGTAGATGAGTTATTCATTTAAATTAGCTCTGATGTTGTCTCATAAGACGGCATTATATGAACATAATAAACTGTGAATCTGCCTGCAGCACAGACACCAGTGTGCTACTTTATGATGAATGTAGCCTGTGGAGATTTAGAGTTGTTCTGATACCGATACCAGTATCACAAATGTCATCGACGCAGCCTGAAATGATGGATTGGGTGAAGGGTTAAATTATGTTATCATAATGTGTTTAAATGTAATCTTGTAGATTTCTATAACTCATTTTGTTTGAAGGAGTTGTTTTTACAGCAGTATAAAATAAATATGGAATTATGACTTTTTTGTTTTTAACGTATCGGTATCGGTACTCGGTATCTGCCGATATGCAAATTCAGGTATCGTAATCAATATCAGGAGGGTGAAGATACAACAGCATGACATTAAGTCTAGAAAAGGGAGGTAAACTATTTTAAACTACACAATAAAGTAAAATCTCAAACAGAAACCTTGCAGTTCTAGAAAGACTGGAACATTTTCAAGTGTAGTTAGAGACGGACCAGCAGGCTTTTATTAATGAAGCCAAATCACAGCTCATATGCGTGAGGAAATGGTGTTGAAATACAAAGAAGATTAGTCTTACCAGTGAAAATCCTTTCATCAAACATTCTGGAACACAAAGAAAAAAGGAAATAGGCCATTAGTCACCGAGTTCAAAGAGTGCTTCAGCTCTCGGGGCAAAAAGTCATGATGCAAATCACTGCACATGTGGAGGAAGACGTCGGTAATAGCTTTTTAACTGCTCTTCAAACAATCAGTCCCGGTCAAACAGTCCCGTAAATGAGTCATTTCTCTGTTATCACTGAATCCCCTAAAAATACCCGTCTGTACTCTGGCTCACCCTGCTGCTCTCCTGCTGCCATCCTGACGCAGCTTCACACACGACTGTTTCTCTAAATCCTGTTTATTTACATTCATTCGTTGGAGATTAAGATCGGCCTTCTGAAACGTCCCGCTGTTGAAGCAGAGTACTTTCCTCTGCAGTTTATTAACTAGCTGACTTATTAAAGCCAGACGTCCCTGTTCTATATTGGAGTCAGAGCTCATGAAACACATTGAGAGCGTCGCTGTTAGCATTTCTTCACCTCTGCTGGGGTAAAACATCTGGAGTCTGGTCTGAGGGTGGCACTCGTTGTTACATGTCAGTGTCACAGAGCTGCTGATACTCTACATTGTTCCTCTTGTCAACAAATACCATGAAAAGATCCTCAAACCGGGCTGTGTCTCACATCAATGAGCCTCGCTGGAGTTCTTCCATTGCTGTACTTTATTTTGAGTCAACGCCGCCCGCCTGCTGCGAGTGCTCTCCACAGCACCACATGTGGATCAATGCGCTGCTGAAAATAGTCCCACGCAGATCTACTGTTTACTCTTCTCTGAGTGGCTTTTGCTAACAGCAGCTGCTTTGGGAAACTAGTCAACCTATTGTTAGTGAGGCTGCTTGAGCACGGCAAGAAAAGAAGGGTCAATATTCATATCACGATTATTAAAACACAATTACTCATTGACTTTGGAAAAATCTCAATCTGAGAGCAGAACTTAGAGGCAATATCTACGAGGAACAATTTAATCATTTACACATTGGTTGTAAAGATATGAATGGTGATGACGCAGCAAAAAACAAGTCACACACACAAAGCGACGGGAAAGGATTTATGACACAAAGCTAAAGCAGGGCATCATTGTGAAGCGGAATGTGGCACAAAAATCACTTTTATATCTTGAATATATTGTTTCATTGTCACTGGAAACGAAAATCGTAGCTGAAGAATAAAACAGGATTAATTGCGCAGCCCTGCTGGCAACTATACATCTGTGACTTGTTTTACATCTTCAGCAGGAGTGAGGCTGAGGGACAGACTGAGGATATATTTTGTGTGCGTCAAACATCATGGAAGACTTGTGTTGCCTGGAACACACAAAGGTAAAGACCCAGTCTGTATTGATTTGATTTCTTCTTCTTTTAATTTGCCCTTTTTTGGTCATTTTGTCTTTGCAAAGTGAAATGATTGGTGTTGATTGGTGTTTCTTATGGGATTTGTTGACAATAAGAAACACATACAACAACCGCTACTCTGCTCCTTCAGGACTGTTACCTTGATAGCATGTGAGTGTTTTCATTTAACTCTAAACTTTTGGCTCTTTTATGACACAAAGTGTTGGAGAAGTGGAGATTCTGAAGTTGCCGTCACAAAGTCAGATGATGACTGAAGTCACACAGATCCATCGGTTTGTGACCATGAATGTCGGCGCCACATTGAATCCATCCATTAGCTGTCAGGATGATTCACTTCGGAACATGATTGGTTTTTTAAAATCACTCCAGTGAGTGTTGATCTGTCTCCCTTTCATTTTGAAAGTGAACTGCTCATAACGTGGATTTAAAACTTGCTCGTTATTACTCGTGATATCATCTGGACATAATTAACAGCGAGGCTGCCGCTTTAAATGAGGTTCCAGTTAAAGCTGCCGACCGTTATAATTAACGATCAGTTGCTTTTAATTGAACAAAGTCTGTCAACAAAGAACATTGCCTAAAAAAACAGGACATGGCGGGCCTGCATCTGGAGCATCTCCCAATGACAATGGGAATGTGATGCAGCTCTGAAATAAATCACATTTTCAATCTTTCTCTAATTCTATTAGCACTAATGAGCTGCTGGGGAAGAGATGCATTATCTCAAACAAGGCATGGTGGCTCATTTAAATCAGCTCAAGCAAACGGATGGAAGAGCGGCGCAATATGCTGGAGAGGAGGAAGTCGTTTGGGACATGAATGGAAAAGCTTTACCAGTGAGCGGGACGCAGCGTGCAGATGGTGCAGGCTCAACCCCAAAGATCACAAAACAGCACATCATGCCAACTAAAAACAGTGCTTCTGAGATTAAAAGCATCGGTTACCGTCTGACGATGAAGCGGATCCCGTGCCGCTCGTCCAGGATGCGCTTGAGCTTGGGAACTCCGTAGGTGCAGGGTCTCTTGAAGGGGATCTGGTCCGGGATGCCGATGATCTCTACGGCTCCCGGGTCGCAGGCGATTTTGCGGTAGGGGACAGGCACCATGTGATCTAGACCCAGGGCCTCGGCTGGTGGCAGAAAACAATAAGAATATCACTTAGATATTCACTTTCACTATAAAGTAAAAGTTGGGTTTTCATCTTTATATATTTGTAACTCATCAAACGTTAATTTGCATGAGGAGAAGCAGCCTCCAGTGGGATGCACAGCCCATGTAAAGGTTTACTGAAGGGAAGATCATTCCAGCTCAATGAGGAATTAAACTTTAAGGGAACGATAATCGGTGCTGTGGGCTTGGATAAAAAATAAATCTGGAAAACAGATCCCATGAGCCGAAATGTTTGCTTAATTTGTAGAGACACACGGCAGCCGCTGAGTAAGTACACGGAGGTTGGCTCGCTTGCAAGCGTCTTCTGAATGATTTCAAATAAGTGGCAAAAGGATGCAAATATTAAAGAGATTTCTTGCTCTAGTTGAGCTAGACTTTGGTAGGAATTAACAATGTGTACAAAAACCTGTCTTGTGAATCGCTGAGGAGACGATGATCAAACCGAAGCACTGACCTCAATCCATCAACATCCAGAGATACGCACGGAACCATCACTGAGCATGAACCTGTGCTCGAGGAGGCAGGGATACCTCCTGGAAAATGTTGCCCCAAAAAAAGCCTCAATGCAAAGAGAGAGACGCTCACCGTATCTGCTGTTGAACAAGATCTGGACACATTCTCTCAACGTGTTGATGTCTTCAGTTTCCCGAATGAAAGAGTCCCATTTCTCTGTAAGAAAGACTTCCTGTCAAAGCTTTTTACACACAGTGAAACGGAAAAACACACTTCTTTTGTTCAAAGGTTAGTGGAGCTTGAACATTCAAATGGGCTTTATTTCACTGGTGAAATTAATCTTCCCCATCTACTCCATGTCAACTTGGGAAATAACTGCAATCTTCTTACGGGATTACTGTTGACGTTGTAGTAGCTTAGCCCTTAATGGTCCAGGTTTAGTATAGTTTAGACTTTGTTCAGTAAACAATGCTTGGCTACAGAATGAGCCTGCAAATCCAAGCAGGGCAAAGGAGAACTAAATGTACAAAAACCTCCTCTGGAATGGCGGATTTGAACTTCTAGCCTTATTTAGAATATTCATTTGTGACAACATACTATGTATATTGTTGAGGCTGATCCTGATATTGATATATGAGAGTAAAAAAATACATCTTGCATCGTTTTCTGATGAAGATTTCCTTAAATTTGGTTAAGAAGAATTGTGATGAAGACTTCTCCATGTTGGTGTTTATAAACTACCTCAAACCTCTTTGTCGGCAGCAGTTTTGTGTTACTTAACAGCCGCTACCAATATGTCTGTGCTAAGCTAATATCGAATGATATACCGGTAATGCCCTGCAACATGTTAAAGATCTAACTCCATATCACACTTTTTCAAAACCATCTGGATCTTAAAGGGCCAGTAGTGATGTTTAGATGTGTGGTTTTATGAGGTTCTTCTCAGTAGTCAGTGTTTTACTACAGTAGAGTTTGGAGGAACAGACGGGAGAAAAGCAATGTTCTGCTGTGGAGGTGTTTTAGATACCATCTATATCAGTTTAAGTGTACGCTATATTTAGAATATCTTCACCTCTTTACCTTGCTTTCAGAGAACTGAAGCCGCTATCAACGCTCATTTCACCTCACAGAACACAGAGTTGCTGGTTTACCGCTGCCTCCATCGGTTTGTTTGTTTGTGTTATTGTGTGACTTTGGTGATTCTGAACTAACCCTTTGAAACACCAAAGTCACACAATATCACCAAGTAACTCACTAATCGAGGCGGTGGTAGACCAGTTACTGTTCTGCGAGGTAAAATTACTGGTTTTGATTAAAAAGTCTTGTTGCAGAGCACAGATAAAATAAATATAATGTACATATAAGAATATTCTAAGTATAGCGTACACTTAAACTGATATTGATGGTATCTAAAACACATCCACAGCAGTACATTGATGTACTCCCGTCTGTTTCTATAAACTCTACTGTAGTAAAACACCGACTACTGACAAGGACCTCATACAACCACACTCAAAAACATCCAAACTATCCCTGTTAATCTCATGGCATACTTTTTAAAGCAATAACTCCTTATGTTGTGAACCATTTATTGGCGTTCTTACTGAACGATCGATCAGAAGATTGATTCCCTTCTATGTCTGTAAACATAAAGCCGTCCACAGGGCACAAAATCCTCCAACCAGCTAAAGTTCACTAATAATCGCACCGATTAAATATAACGACAAACACTGACATTTAACTTGAAAGCTAATTAAGAGGAGATGTGATGGAAATATTGAGCACATTAAGGTTTGTGCAGTTCATATTTCACATTATTAGTGATGACTTTCAAAGCAAGTCAATATATCCGACTTAGCTATACATCCAAAAATACCTTTGTTGGCCGAGACAGTCTGTCTACCTTGTCTCCAATGACCAATAAACCTGTGTTGTTTAGTATATCGTCCTGGTTCAATCGTACCTGATTTTTCATGCACTATGGAGAAGAGTAGCCTCTTAGAGATGTGGATGCCAGGAGGGCCCTGACCCTGCTCACCAGGTGGCTTTGTTGTCTCATCTGAAAATGCAAGACAGATTTAAATACACTCAGTTCAATTCACTTTCACTTCAGCCAGAGATGTTCCCTTAGCATCCCACAATGAAAAAGTACCAGAATAGAGAATTACATTTCCATGTGTTGGTCTTGTTTGCAGAGTTTTTCTACATTTTAGAGCTATGATGTCTTCTCTAGCATTTAAAGACACTGCCTCCTGGACGCCTCCCTTTAGAGGTTTCCCCGGCATGTCCAGCTAGCAAGAGGCCCCGGGGTAGACCCAGAACACGCTGGAAGGATTATATATCTCGTCTGGCCTGGGAACGTCAGGAAGAGCTGGAAAACGTTACCATGGAGAGGAACATCTGGAATACACTTCTAAACCTGATGCTCCCCGAACCTGGCCCCGGATAAGAGGATGAGAATGGATGGATTGAAGAATGGATTGATGGATGAATGGCTAGATAGATGGATGGATGGGTAGATGGAT